TGGTTTTGGTTTACTAGGGAGTAACATTCTGGATTTAGTTCTAACCTAAGGACTTCAACAGATTAACAAGTGCTTTTTGGGGTAAAATAATAGATACTGGTCAGAAGGTGAGACTGAACTCCTTCAGGGCCTTAATTACCAAGCACTGCTAGGTGAATTACTTGGAAAAGACAGGTGCCGTTCTTTTCTCTCTGCCATCCTATTTATTATTCCCATTGCCCTGAGGAAAATGAGGATCTACTTGTGGGAAATCCACTGAGGCATGAATATCACCACTGCTTAATTTGCATTGAATTAATGATATGCAAATCAGAATGTTGAACACAGATAACGAGCTGCTTTCCCAAGCTATTCATTGAGGTCTGGCATCTCTTTACTACACGTAAGTATCAGTAAAGACTTCTTACTACTGGGTGCCACAGTAAGACATGAACAATCGTATCAGGCACGCTTCTCTACACTGCTGCATGTCACCTAACACAACTGTCTACACTACAGTGTCTTACAGGGGCATCACAATCTCAAAAAAGGGGATACTTATGATTTTGCAATTAAGCATCATGTTTCACTTTTCAAAATTATATATGAACGCTCTTTAAAAGCCTAAATGCTCATCTCACCCTGTGAGATAAAGAGGCATAACAAATCCAAAGGCAGAGTCAGAATACAGTCACATGTGCCACAATTAACACAGTAATGTCACTGTATATTCCAGATATCATAAAATAGAGGTGAAACAATGTATAATAAGAAAAAGAACCAAACTATTTACAGTTAAATCATATGGACCCCATAAAGGAACACTGCCAACAAGCCAAATTGCTTGTGTACTGTATGTGTTTGCAAATCTTGTGCTGCCTGCATAACACCAGCTTTCCAGAACGTGACGGTTATTTTAACCTGTCAGAGCAGGTCTTTACTTTGAGCCTGGGAATGTACAGGTGCCTGGTTCCTCCTCTCTGGATTGATTCCAGAGTAGCAATTGTTTGTAAGAAGGTGGGCAACATTGTACGCAGTATTCTAAACAATGTCTTTCTACTCCGTTGTGCAATTGTAACATTATATCCTTTGATATAAATTCTACATTTTTAACTATAAATCCAAACATTGCACTTGCCTTGTCTGTTTTTTCTACTTCAAGAAGATGAAAATGACATGTCAACATTAACACTTTTTTTCATAGGTCGCTCCTTTAGGCTCAGTGTTTCCTGCCTTATACTTAGTAGTAATTGTTTTTCCATCTCTGTGCTTGTCTTCATTGACTTCAGTTTTAAACGTTTTATTATCTTTTTGAATTTTGCCACTTCTACAGTGGTCTTAATTTGGTATCATCTGCAAACTCGACTGTTAAACTAAGTATCAGAATTAAGACTATTGCTAAACAGTAAGGAGAGCAGTGGAGCCAATTCAGATACCTGCAGAATTATATTACTTACAACTCCACCCAACATGGGTATTTACCCTTTATTGTAGCTCTATTCTTTATTCATTACCCAGATCTCAAACTAAAAACATGCATTACTTTGAGTACCTCCTGCCTAAAATTTCATAAGTGATTTTTTCTAAAGAACGTAATCAAAATCTTTATGAACAGCACAAATTAACTTAATAACAGCAAAACAAAAGTTTGCTTCCATTAAGGTTTTTACTTTAACAAGTCAGTTTAACAAAACTTGGCTTTTCTAAATCCATGCTGACTAGCCTCTAGATTCCTATTTCCAAACAGATTATCATTTATTTTATTTCCAAATATTGTTTCTTCACATGTAATAAAAGTGAGAATTATTGGTATAGAATATCGTAGTTCAGTTTTGTGAACCATCTCATTGCTGGGCATTAGTAATTTTTCAGTCAAGTTTTATCCATCCTGAGTGACTGTTGGAACACTTTGGTTGATGTCTTACGAATAACACTTCTTGTTTTCCTGCTTACAATATTTAATATTTAATCATTGCTACAATACCATCATGTTCTGGAGATTTGTCTATCTTAAGAACTTATAATATGGGTGACTTTCCTACTGGAACACAGAACTTTTGTTTTTGCTAGGCCTAAGACATTGGTGATTTCTTCCTTGATAAACACACAGGTGAAATGAAAACAGTATATAGTATATTAGTCATTTCTATTTCATCATTAAAACGTTTTTGATGTTTTTCCTGATTGAAGGGACTAAAATATGGGAATGTACTAAAGCATACTGAAATCATAGGGGTAGTGGAGTAATCTTAAATATCGGTTCAAGTGGGGAGCTTTATGAATGTGCAGGCCAAGCAGAGGATCCTTCCAAGCTCAAACGTAGAAAGAATGAAAAAAAGTAGGTTGTCTTTTCACCTGAAAAATGTTCACCAGTCGAAACATTGTTTTTTCTTTCTATTTTTTTAGTTTGGAATTTGGTTACGCATTAATTGTGCGGATTTTTGTTCATAGCCTCACATTATACGAAAAGATACTGGAACGCACAACCAAATCAAAAGCAGAATTTCTAAACAAGGGTTGCCAAAGAGAAAATATTTGCATTCCGTTAATTAAAAGTAAACTGCAATATTGAAAAGCAAATACAACATAAAAAAGAACTAAAAAAATATTAGGTATTAGGTAATGGAATCCAGCAGTGCAGTCTATATCTCTGTGTTGACATTTATCATCAATACAAAGGTCATATACTTCATAGAAAATCATTGTTGAACCATAAAGAATAGGCCTGTGATGTACAGCAGAGAGAGGTGGCTCTGTGAGGAAGTGACCATCTTGGCTCAAAATTCTGACCTGATGGTGTGGCCTTGAGCCAAGATGGCTGAAGAATTGAGAAAAAGTTGCATAAAGGTTCACTTGAAGTGAGGGAAAGGGGCAGTCGCTACAGGTACTGGGTCTGGGTGGAATTATCCACTCCTCTAATTAAAATGCTTATAAGATCAGCTGGGAAGAAAGGGTTTTAATCAGTGTCTTGGCTCCAGCCTGGAAGGAGAGAGAGTGAGAATTGCAGTGGGGAGTTCTTAAGAGTGACAGATTAGGCTGTACTTCAAGGCAATACAGGTGCTGGACAGACAGGCTGCACGGTAAATCATTAGGGCCCAGACCCAGATGAGATGAAGTGCGCTGCTGAGGAACGGGGCAAGGAAGCAGTTTACCTTCTCCCCACAGCTGGGAGAGAGAAGTCTATTTGGCACAGGTTGAGTCCTGACTCATCCCTGTGTCTAACTGCAGACAGATGTGCGGTCTCACAGAGACACAGTAATCGAGAGAGTAAGGAAACAGCAGAGTCAGGGAGGCACGGCTCTGTTACAGAGAGGATTAGCTCAGAGAGTTGTAAGAGGGGGCGATGAAGGGAGGAGTGTGATATGGTGAATACTTCAAAGCCCAGAGATTGGGAAGATGGAACTGGGCATCAGAAAGTAAGCCAGCCTGAAAACTCTGTGTCTGGTGGTTAGCCAAGCTTTAACACCCGCAGAGTTAGTCGGGAGTGTAATTGAATACTCCATCGCCTGGTGTGAAGATGGTGTGAGGGGATGTGAGCGGGGTGGTTGTGTCTGTGTGATTGTCCAAAAGGGGAGACCAGCCACAGGAAGGGGTTCACACAATCTTCCCTGAGAGGGGACCAACATCAGTGAGCTAGGATCTCAGAGGGGGGTCCAAAAGACTATCCAAGAGTGGAGACGAGCCACTTCAAACACAAAAAGGTGAGAGAGTTCACTGTCAGTGTCAGGATGGTCAAGGAGCTGGGTGGAGTATAGACCAGTGTTGACACAAGGCCTTTATCATTTTTAAACATTTAGAATCACAAGTTATGTTCTATTTTATACTTCCCACCTCTGGAATCACCAACTGTTAATCAATCTTAATGCTACAGATTGTGGACCAGTACACATACTCCAGGACACCCATGTGGCATATCAGAAAGTCCACAGCTTTGACACAAGCAACACAGTACCTTGAGCTAACACTCCGAACGACGTCCCTTACAGACATTTCATTCTTACAGGGGCCTGGAAGGATCCGGTAGCCTTAATGTCAAATTGCAAGATTAACACAAGGCAAGTGACCTAATGAACTTTTAGTCCATCAGAAACATATCCTCTGGGCAGTAAAGGTTAAGCTATGAAATCTGCACTGATTCCCTCACCCACTTTGCCCCTAAAGGCACAGTGCACAGTTCACTAACTCTGGCCCTGTTCATCTAAGTAGAGCATAAAAACTCTCATGCCTGTCAGATAGAAATACACAGTGCAATTTCAAGGGACACCCTTAACTTTCACTGTAAACTCAATTAATCTTAAACTATACTATTTATGACAAAGCTGTTGTTCTTTAATGATTGTTCATTGCTAGGTCCTGCTGTGTTACTGTACATTCTGAAAATATGTTCATGAATCACACTGGGCTCATTTATGTAGACCACTGACAATGCAGGGCAGGCTCAGACACCACAGTGCACCCAGCAGATTAGTGAAATTGTTCAGTACTACTTCATACATTGTTAAAACTGAGAGAAACCAAGTCTTGGTGAGAAATGTACTGTAAAATGCGATCACTCTAGTTAAACTACATTTTTCCATTATTACTCCATAAACTCAGTGGAAAATAAAACTAGATTAATACAGTATGTGTGTAAGTTCCTATAATAAACAATTAATGGGTAAGGATCAGGGTTTCATTGCAATATATGATGATATAATTCATTTGACACACAGTATCAATGTTTCCTGGCTTGACTCAATACATATACATGCAAGACATACTGTAAAAGTCATTGAGCACAAAACTCACAAGGCACCCTCACTCAACATTCATCACTCAGAAGAGAACATACAGTAAGTGTCTACACTACAGAATAATTAAATACACTGAAACTAACAGGCTTTTTCAAATTACCTTTTGTTCATATACATGTACAATAGGTTTTTTAACACTCTGGTTAAATTCTAGATGTGTTCCAGTAACTTCCAAAATGCGGAATAAGTAAAAAAGACGAGTGAATTCAAGAAGGTTCAGACACCTACGTCTTTCCCAATGAGATCTTCTTGGTTCTCCACTATTCCCCAGGGAGCAATTCCAATAGTGCAGATTTTCCCTCTTGATTTGGAAGCATGGTCTTTTAATGCATCTCCAACATGACGGATGACCCCTGCAATAGGACCAAGATCAATATATGTTTTGAGAACTCTCCATCTGAACTGAAGAAACAAAATCAAGTACCAGGACATAAAAAACAGACTGATATTACTGTATATCCTTATATAATTTGGTATTGTATTGATTTCTCTTTATTTCCATAGTCAGAACTACTTAGGTTCACTATTACAGTATAACAAATTTGCATTGCCTCCATTTCTTTTTAATTTCACACTATTAAATTAGAGGAATTTTGTTAAGGAGTCTCATTTGGCGATCTAAGCAAATACTGTTGATCATGCTATAGTCATTGTGCAACAGGAGCAATGTAGCTTTAGAATTTGCTTATCTTGTAGTGCTAATATCCCCGATTTAACTATAGCTTGCATATCATATGTATAAGCAATACAAGAATTACTTCATATACAACTCCGCATATGTATTAAAATATTGTTCAATGTTTTTAATGACTGAGATTTCCCAATCAGAACATCATTTAATTTTTATGAACAATATTTAATGGCTTATTTGTATAAAGTTTTTTTAAATTTAATATTGTAGAACACTTTCAGTAAATTGTCTTGAATTCTTCGGTTCACTATGATTGTGCTACAGAACGGTTTCCAGGGTACCCTTACCCAAATCTAGAGAAGCAAAAAAAAAATACTTTTCAAAAACCAATAATTTTTCCAACATTTAAAAACATTTTCTTTACCCCACGTGTGGCCAAAGGCGATTTTGTTAAAAAGAAAATGTATAATTGTTCTCCAGTCCGCAAAACCTTATACATCATGCCAAATAAAAAGTAAATATACTCCTGCTTGTGTTATTTACTGGTCTTTTAGATCAGTCTTTTAGTTTTAACTCCCTGATCAATTATTTTGAATACCACAGAGTCATATTTAAAGCTTAAGTATGTTTCTTTCTAATTTAAGAACAATTTACAGAGTTTTTACATACTTGACTGTGAGACCACTGGTACATATAGCTTTGTTTGGATAAATTATGCAGTGCAGCAGCTATGCCAGTGACATGCTCTGGGCTCAGCACTTTCTAAATGTTAATAATTTAAAATAAGTTAGGTAGCTTGGCTGCCTTTGACTGCAGTCACCCTCCTACTTGTGTGATGTACCCCTGGTTTATTTGACATGCTGTTCCTTCACCTGTATTTACACCACCAGTGAAGATCCAAGCTCCAGTTGTCATAGCAGCCTTGATCAGACCCTTCCCAAAGACCTGCTTGAGTTTTGGTTGCAGTTCAAAATTCTGCAGTCCCCCGTGGACAGAGATCAATAGCTTAGGAAGATCAAGCTGCCACTCTTTAGTCATCAGGTGCAACAGGAGATCGGGCTTGGTGTCGTATGAAACACGGACATACTACAAGGCAAAAAGCAAAAACAATCCTTTATTAATACAATTAGTTATTAGTTAATTATTTAGATGTTTATATTGTATAATATGCATAACACTATGTATAGGGTGTAATAATTACATAGCGAGACAGAGGCCACAGTACATACTGACTCTTAATAAAGTCAAACATTATAACTAATGAGGATATTTTTGTAAAACAATGATTCTAGTCAAGTGATTGCTTTCAAATTCTACTTGAAAACATTACTTATGGCCTTACTTTGCTGTTTCCTTTTCCCCACAAACATTACGTCTCATACCAATCAATATTAAATCATGTTCTTCAGAATAGTAGGAAATAGTAGGTAATTTTCAATGTGTTCTATTTCATTTTTCAAGAAGAATTGCCAATTTCAGAAAGCAATTCTAATATATCAACCAGGAAATCATAGAACAAGTGACATCCTAAGTTGGACCAAGTTTTTGACTTTCAATTGAATTTGAGTTGAAGATGAAAAAGTGGAGCAATAGTGTACCAGAGTAAAAAAAAATTTGGTCGTCATGTGTCGGTTCTCCTACAAAATTTACCATTGCTAATAATTTTTTCTTATGTATTTTCCCCCCGTTTGGAATATTCAGTAATTGTCTCAGCTCCCAGCGGTGACCCCTGTTCCCTACATAGGCAGAATGAAGGGGGACAGAGAGGAGCCTCATACAGGCCTTCCATCTTTCGACACTCTGAAATCATTTTCACTGACATCAACCGCATACCTGCTCGTGTTCAGGCAGTGGAAGAAGTAGCTGTTTTGATGGGAAAAGAGAGAGCTCTGACACATCCCAGTGCTATCTCTGGTGGCAGTGCACAAGCAGAATGACACTGGTTATAGTCAGATAGCTGTATCTTTCCATGTGTTCTCAGGGAGCCTTTACCAGTTGAACCACTCAGGAGCCGCACATTGCACTGTCTACGGGCTTAATTAAGCAACTCCAGAGACAAGGAAAACATATACATTCACCATTGCTTTGTTTGAATGTCCACCTCCTTGGAATTCGATGGTTCCAAATGCATCCGTGGGGCTGAGCTGTGTGTGCTTGCTGATCGACCATTTCTCCGGTAAGCTGTCGTTTTTGGCGAGCCTTTCATTTTTGTCATTCTGACTGGATGAGATGCTCGGGGGAAGTCCAACATGCTGTCCTATAAGACGTCCGCAGCAGCACCTGCAAGAGCACAATGCAGCAGAATCAGGGGGTGTCAGAAACCATGATGGGACGTTGCTTTGGAAAAAATTGTCAGTCAAATACATTTATTAGATTGTGATTGCTTGTTCATATCAATAAGTCTCCTCTTGACTGTGACTTTTTCCGTGTTGGATGAAGTAATTGTGTAAATAATTAATCCACTTCAAATAATAATCAAAAGGTTCCATCAAAAGTAAGCCAAACATAAGGTGATTAATAAAGGTACTATTGATTAATTCAATTCATACAACTATACAAGGCTCTTTGAGGTCCATTCTAAGTCAACTGATTTTTATTTAGTCAACCCTCATTTAAACTATATTGTAACAAATTACATAATTCTAAGATACATAAACTAGGATAATCAATAATTATAATAAATAATTCGATCAAGATATGCCAAGAATATACCTGAGAGGTTGGTATAGCTAGAGGCACTTGAGCTGTTTTTTTTTTCTGGCACAGCTCTGGTGAAATAACAATAAATAAGTGCCAAGCTAGGGTAAACAAACAATTATTAACAATTACAATAAAGCAAACTAAATAACACACAGGAACAAGTAATAGATTTGTTCCACGCCGAAGAGACAAGAACGAAAACACAACATTTCAGCTGTGGAGCCATATTTGGGTGTCTTCTTGACACCTGAAGAAGGCTCCACAGCTGAAACGTGTTTTCTTTCTTCTCTTTTCAGCATGGAATAAACCTATTAGTTGTTCCTTCGCAACCTAGGCATGCTAACGCAGCTACCCACCTAATCTAGATAACACACAACCCAACATACAACATAAAACATAGCGCTATTTACAAACGAGGAGCCTCAGAAGCCTACAGTACGTCCTGATCACTGAGAAAAATTCAGACTGCTAACTACTGTATCCTACTGTATATAATGCCTAAACAAGAGTTAAACCTGAGTCTTAAACAAAACAGAACACAAGTCTCCTTTCCTATAAAACCGGATGCTCCAAAGGGATGATTTTCATTAATAATAACTATTAATTATATTTATAATAATATTCATCATCATCATCCTGTATTTCTGGACAGTTGATGACTCTTGATTATTTACTAGTCAATCTTCCCAGAAGGTCTCCTTTGTCTTTTTTGTCTTTTTGTATGTAGGCAGCCTTTTTTGATTTGATGTGATTTGTCTCTCAGACCATTTAAAGCTCAGTAAACACCACATCTTCTATTCATTGTTCTGCTCCTTGCTTTGAAGCCCTGAGAACTGCAAATGTTGACACAACAGTTGCAATGATACTGATCAAACAGAAACTGATATGGGCTTAGAAAGGCAGGACATTTGTCCGATCATTTTTTTTGTGGGGTAAAAAACACAAAACCAAAGAATGATATTTGATATTTCTCCATTATTTACTGTAATGCTTTTTAAGAAAGCCTAGGAAACTTAAAGCTAACATTAATATTTGTTTTCAACTGCCAGTGGAATCTATATTTATTGTATTTACTACATTGTTGAATGCATAAATTACTGTATATACTGTAGAGTTATATAGCCACCAAGAGTTTTACAATCATTTAGCAATATCTGAGAGGATAAAACAGAACATTCTGACATTTTTCACTGGCTGTATACAATTAAAACTGATGAGGATCCTCTAAGCTTTTTGCTGCCAATTGTTTGTATAAATAAATCTCTTTCTTCCACATATGTTGAGTGGGAGTATTCTCTGAGATGCTAACAAATCAGATTCAATGATCTTGAAGGGTAGACAATATACATATGTCAACGTTTTACCGTTTTCTGTTCTTACTGTTTTTTGCTTAAATGACATCAATACCTAAAATTATGATGCACTGTATATCACACTTACAGTATATGACACAATATTACACTTTAATTCTGTAATATACTGTATATATACTTAGAAAATACTGCAGGCTACTGGTACTGTACCAGGAAAAAGATCACATGTATTTTTATTTTCCAACCCTTATTTTTTCACCACCTTGTAGTCTTTAATATGCCAAAAAGTTTTGCAATGGATTTAGGAGTAAACTAATTAAATAATAACCAATACTTTAATGTATGTTAAACTGACACAAATTGTGTCTGAAACAGAATCAGTAGAAAATGTGAATGACTCCAAGACTATGGTAATGATGGTATGATTATAGTGGATTGTTATTCTTAGAGGCATAGATAAAAGATTAAAAACCCTTTCTGATGAATTCTTGTAAAACATTTTTTTAACAAAAATAAGACTTTACCATACGGTTTTCTGAGACATTACTACAGGTTAACTGCTGTTCCAAAGTAAAGGAATTACTGTACACCAGCAACATAGCCACAGAGAAAATGCAGTCCATTATTTTCAAAGACACACACAGAACTAAGAAGCATAACCTGTGAAAAAATATTCTGTTGCTGAAAAACAAACTTAGTTTCAAAGAATGTGGTTCATTAAAAAAATTGGTAAAAAGCAGAATAAAATGGAAATACCTGTATATAGTCATTACAAAGATTTTTGACAGTTTTGACAGCAGTTTCATTGTGAAATGGCACATTCGTATAGAGCAATAGTTTTAAATTAAAATCTTCTGCACACTATCGATGCAGGAGACAGATATTGAATGTGCAATATTTATAAAATACAACATGTATAATTGTATACAACTTGTATAATTTCATAAATGTCATCAAAGATAAACTGAATATGGTTATTATTTTATAAATGTGGGATTATTGTTGTAATCCATTCTAGTCCAAAGTACATCCAGTACTGTACAACTATCAACACCCTGAAAACTTTTCTTAATGAAATCAATGGTGCCAACAGGCAACATTTCACTTCTGGTTAAGGAATAATATAACAGATGTCGTAATCCTGGGATTAAAAATTATTCTTAAAAATGGCTAGGTAAGTGTTGTTATAAGTGCTGATTCTTTGTCTTCCTGTTTTTTGTCTATTTCTCATTACCATTTCTTTCTGCCCTACAAATCCTCATGAGGACTTGCTTTAAAGCCTAAAAACCCTAGTTTAAGAATTAATACACGACAGACTAAAGGTGTCCAGGTTTCATGTTCACTGAATTGGTAGAAGATTGTTTTTATCGATTAATGAATAACAACAAAGAATGGAACCATGTACAATGTCAGCACAAGCTATTGTTAATTTAGCTAAAGTCCAGGGAGGTCATTTGAAAGGAATTAGGTGTCAGAACATGCGTATGGAGTGTATGGAGTGGGGTATAACAAAGAACTGTGTTGTTTTGACTGGATTATGTTGTTGTTTGGGATTCTATAGACCGCTTACGACAAATTGTTGCCTTGTGCACGCCCGCAGGTGCCGAAGGGGCAGAGCTGACACTGAAAGTCCCAATGGCAATCCGGTGAGTGGTGTTAGTTAGGGTCTGGTACTTCTTCACGCTTCAGTTATGAACTGAAAATTATTGTGATCGATAGAAATCAAGACACCTTGACTTACCTATAGTGGTCTTTTGCGCTCACTATGATATGCACACATTCTCGCTTGCTGAACGCCCTCTCTATCCAGGATTTTTGTGCCTGTAGAACAAACAGGGAAGAAGAGCGTTTACATCTCATTGAAAGCAATTGAAAAAGAAAATTATAGATATCAAACACCTACAGTCCTAAAATAACCTGATACCCACACCTTTAATTCTAAATTGCTGCTTAATCACATTTAAACAGAAACAGGAGTACAAAGTTAATGTTTAACTGTTTGATGGCACAGTATGAAGGATGTACTTTATCATGAAATACAGTATATCACAGTAAACCACAACTAAAAGGATGCAGACATTTTCACATGATTTTAGTAATGTAAGTAATGTAAAACGTTCACAGTATTTGTAAAACAAGCTATTTTCAAAGAACATCTTAGACAGGTACAAACTAAATACGTCATGCCCGTAATCATATATTTTTATGTTTTACCTAAAAAGAAGACAGAATGGATGGTACAGGTCACACACAGCCCAAGGTTAACTTTTGAAATTCATTTAGGAAGGCAACATATCAGATTTTAGAAAACTGCTTCAAGCATAGCTTGATCATTCCATATGTTTAATAGCCCATTAGAGGTCAAACGTGCTTAGACAGTATGTGTTCTCTTCTGGAATCTGTATCTATAGGGTGTTTTCTGTGCATTTGAATAAATGTATCTTAATCTGATTTTTTTTTTATTAAAGGCCTGCATTTGATTATTTGTTTGACAAGCTCACCAATTACAAGTGTTTTTACCAATACTGGTGCAGACGATAATGTTCAAGGTTCACTCTAACAGGATCTACATGTTACATACAGTACAGTAAGTTCTAAATGCATACCAAGGTTAACTTTTGGTTTTCGCTTTGCTAAAAAAATCTGATTTTACTGATGTGGCTTCGGACAGAAATCTGCATATAAATCTTAGTATAAATACTGTATAAATACCCCTTACAGGGTGCTTGGTCATATCATACTGCTCCCAGTTCAGTCCTTAGTCCTTTACATTGTGAAGAAACATGGTTAAAACAACACAGGTTAAAGAAATACAAATTACGTTAAAAATACTCTATGTGACCCTGTGGAACATTTCAAGAATACTTTAATATGAATTTTAAGTAAACCTACAAGAAGAAGTGATTTTGAGGTGTAATGCCTTCTTTTCTATAGCACAATATGTTTTCGGTGAAATAATGTAATCTGAGATTTGTACAGAAGAAACCACTTGGCTGGCTATGTGGAAGATTTATGACTTGTTTAGTCAGGTGACAGAACACTGCTTTCTCTCAAACACAGCTCTCTGAGCTTCTGTGAGGAGCTCAGGAGCTCCTAAACTGAGATTCTCCAACCCTTTATTCTCTAAAAACAGCTCATAATTTTTCATATTCCATCATCGCCTGCCAGCCTACTTACACAGGACCCTCTGCTGTCCCAAATGTGAGTTTGCTTGTCTGTGCCAAACACTTACCCTAATATGAGAATTCCTTTGACAGATCATAACTCACCAAAATGTGACAGGGGATACTTTTTCAGAGCGATCTGGCCACCATGACTCAGCATGTCAGAATACAGCTGTCTGACAATGTACAGTATGAATGTATTGCTACTCCAGCTAAGAGGTGTAAATTTGTCCCACACAGCACCGATCATGACTGCATCGCCTTCAAAATTAACATAACAACAATCAAAAGACAAATTTCGTTCATCAAACAGAATTTATGAAATATGACACTCCTAAGTACATATGAAAATCTAGAGAACATCATAAAGATATCATCTCCAAACAGGGTTTTCAATCAGTTCAATTAATTCCTCCCTACTAATAGCTGATGTGTGGTGAGCGTTCTGGCGCACTATGGCTGCCGTCGCATCATTCAGTTGGGCTGCACATTGGTTGTGGAGGAAGGGAGTCCCCATTATCTGTAGAGCACTTTGGGTGGAGTGTCCAGAAAAGCACTATATAAGTGTAAGCAATTATTATTATTATTATTATTATGACTGCAATAAAAACGTGTCATTTTGCAGTTGTAATACAACAACGATTACACTTTTTGATATCTTGTTTTAATATTAGGTAACAGTTAACATTAAGGATGCAATGTCAAGTACGCAGAAAAGAAAAATAATGAATTTACCACAAAGTAATAACTGAAATACAAAACATGGATCAGCCAGCCTGACATGGATAGATCACGGATAGATAGATACCTTATTAATCCCGTGAGGGAAATTGCAGATCAAATCATCGTTTTCTGGTCAAACACTATAAATGATTTCTGAGTGAGTCACTATCAGATGATTAAGATATAAATTCCTATTATTACTACTATTTCAATCTTTGGTTTATTATTTATTACCTTTGCCTTTTTATATTGACACATATTAACTGAAATTTGCCGAATGACAAGTTTTCCTTTTTCTCAAAAAATACTCAGCAGTATCTATATTTCTCTTATTTATTTTTTTGATGCCATAAAATGCTTTCAAATTCAGCATTCACCAAATAACATTGTTACGAATTTTAAAAAGAATGGTTCTAACAGTTTTGTCTACGTCAGACAATTTTAATGAAATAGCTCAGGTCAGGTATTTTCTAACATTTGATGCAGAACTCAGGAGGATGATTATGAATAACCTAATTTTCATCACCCTTTCACCCTTACTAATGAATTCTGAAAATGCCTGATTGCAGTCTATAGTGGAATAATTGACAGTCTTGTGATTAATTGTTGTGATTTATGAAGATGACTGCTTCCAGCATATTTTGATCTTTCTATATGAGTAATTGCTTACAGGAAGCCAAGAATTGAATGGATGGTGCTTTATTTCTCGTGAGTCTGTATTAAGATCTTTTTATGTTCTTGAATAGATGTGTTTCAGTCTACATGGTTTGTTTTGTGGTATTTGAAAAACAGCACTGTAAAACACTGACAAATCTGCCAATTACAAGCAACAAACCCAGTGCTGGCTTCAGGATGTAGGAGTTTCTTGACAGAGGTTTCTTATTCCCATTGGAGACACATCTTTAAAACTCAAATTTATTCACTCTCTTAGTATTGCAAAAAATAGTCTCCCCTATGAGATGGATGTCATTAGACTCCTTTTGGAAATAACATTACTTTTCAGTTTGGAAATTAACTGAATGTGTGTCCAGGAAGTCTGAAATAGGCATATGAATTATTTTAATTATTTAATTTAAAAAGGGAAACTTACCTATGCATAATGTTATGTTTTGTCATTTTGCCCACACCAAAAGGATAAAACCATATTTAGAATATAGTTAATAATTATAATGTGGAAGTAAAAATATTGCAACTTTAAATCAATGCATATAGTATATACCTAGAGTTATGCTGTTTGTACAGTGTTTATATTGCATTATGTACCGTAAATAAAAGTGAAAATCAAAGTGGGACATTTTTCTTAGGTATTCACATTAAATAATGAACATCCCAAGAATCACAGAGACAAAGAATCATAAAAATAATTACAGTAAATAAATATTACAGGGACCAGTAATTTGGGTTCTAGATTACTGCCAGATAATCTAGTTTATATCTCAATATCCTTGAAAAATATCAAAAGATTCTATTTAAATGGATTAAGACTGCATTTCCCTTATGTTTAAACATAAAACATTTTGCTCACATGGTTTTGACTCATAGTTGTTCAAAAACAAACACAAAAACATGACAAAACTATATTCCCCATGTTCTAGATGACTTTTCTGACATGACTAATCCTAAACAGACTGAAAGAGTTTAACTGAAAATAGAAGAATCTCCATCTATAGTTCATATATAAAACAATAATCACTTTTTACTTCCATAAGAAGAACAATCTAGCAATAAAGATATGCAAATATTTAATGAAAGCAATGCTGTGATGAAAATTGTCACATGAAAGTTATGGGTAAGAAACATTCCCCATATTAATAAAACACAGCGAAATATGAAATCCAAAAATCTTATATTGAGCCAGTGCAATTGCACTGCATTTTCAGTTTTATAATAATATTTGTTGTCAGAGTCTCATAAAATTACTAGATTGAAAATAACAATATTTACCTTTTCACTTGTTCAGCTTTAATGGAGTTGCCTTCTATAGATCACAACCAAGACTCCACTGCTGGTTTCTCTTCTGTTAACCTTGCTCATGACTGCCCATTTAACAACTTGTTCGTTCAATTCTTAAACAAGTGAGTTTAAAGTAAGCAAAGAGCCCAGGCCCATTAGGTACCTGGAATGTGCTACAGGATTAGCCTCATTAGAGGTTCTTTTGACATGCCAAAAACGTTGGAGCTCAGTTTGAACCCATAATCTGACGCCTCAACAACAACAAATCCTCTGAACTTGGATTTAACTTGAACAGGCCCAGGCAAGTTAATTTTTCTTGTGCTTTTTTGACTTTGAGTGCGCACATGCAAGTGCACGATAATGCGGCCTGAGATCTTGTAATTCCCCATGAGAAACCAAATCCCCTCAGAACTGCAATGCCAGAAAGAATCTGCACACAAGGTAGATATTAATAATCTCCATCAGAAACTTTTTAATTGGTAGACTTGTTACCAGGATAATTTGAGAGACGAGGGTCTCTTTCAGCTACAGTGTCTATCGACGTCATTCACCTGAAGCTCTTGTTTCATGTTGAGCAGATGAGAGGTTTAAGATGAAAGGCTGCACTGTTTAATGTTATGAGTACTGAAAGATTAAATCATAGATTCACAAGAGCAACATTTGACTCATTTGTACTCAGAAATGTTACCTACATATAGGCAGCGCTTCTCAGCTGCCAGGAAGGCTACCTGTACAGAAATACAGAGTAGGTCATTATTTTTTTAAGATTGCCCTTCATGAAATCAAAAGAATTAAACATGCACATTATTATACTGCTGGAGTTAGGCAAAAGCCAGACATCTTAATTTGCTTATTAATATTTCCCCAATTTTATCCAGAATGGATAGAAGACAGATTTGTTTGTAGTTAACTGCCTTGATAAGTACAAATGGGTATTAATTTTCCAGTCAGTCAGTACAACCTTGTCTTAGGATTGTACTG